AGAGAGAGAGAGAGAGAGAGAGAAGAGAGAGAGAGAGAGAAAGATAGCGAGAGAGAAGATATGGATGGAGAGAGATGGAGCAATTAAGAGAAGCGAGGGGATAAAGGACGATTACGTCATTACAGATGCATAGAGTAACGCATCAGTCTACTAAATGACGTCACAGATGATGACGTCACCGACGATGACAGTCACAGGAGATGACGTCACAGACGTTGACAGTCACCAACAATGACGTCACCGACGACGACGCCCCCTTACGACCGTGGCGTTCGCCGCCGACAGACAGCGCCCTCTGACGTACGTCGTGCAGCGGGAAAGCGGCGGCATAGGTGTTTTCCTCCAGCAGGCGGTCGATGCCGACCTCGGCACGCTTGCGTTTGCCGTACGCCGTCGTCTGCAGGATCTCGTAGACGACGCTGCTGCGCTGTGTGCTGGTGAAGTACGTGTCGTGGTTGCCGCTGCCCAGAAACCTGCGAGAAGGGGGGGGGGTAGAGTGGAAGAGCGTCTATAGATCGGATGGTCTGTCTCTCTATATATCTTTATATCTGTCTCTGTCTCTGTCTCTGTCTGTCTCTGTCTCTGTCTTTCTGTGTCTCTCTCTCCTTCTTTCTACCCCCCCTTCTCTCTCTCTCTCTCTCCCTCTCTCTTTAGCTCTCTCATATCTCTCTCTCTCTCTCTCTCTCTCTCTCTCTCTCTCTCTCTCCTCTCTCTCTCTCTCTCTCTCTTTTTCTCTTTCTCTCTCTCTCTCTCACACACACTCTCTCTTTCTCTCTCGCTCTCTCTCTATCTCTCTGTCTGCCTGGGCCACGCACCACAATCACGACCACCATCTCTATATGGCTCTATATGGCTCTGCTGCTCTGACTGAATGTCCGCTAACATATCATCGGGATTAAATAATCTCAATCTCTTTTTGTGATCACCTAATCCATGATATCATGCAGTTAATCCCATCCTAGTATAGCCAACATATCGCTGCCCGTATCTCCACCCGCAGCGACCGTACATCGTTCTACATGGTATAGGGCCGTATACAGTGGCGGTATAGAGCCGTACATCACCAAACATGGTATAGGACCGTACAGGGGCGTTACATGGCCGTACATGGATGTGTAGGGACTACATGTGCAATATGGCATGTTGTTTGTGTCATACTT